GAATGATGGGTTGGCACAGTGGTTAGCACTCTGCCAGGGACCTGGTCCAATTCCACCCTTGTGTGGCTGCCTGTGTGGAGTTTGTACATTTTTCCCCATGTCTGTGTGTTTCCTCTCGGTGCTCTGGCTTCCTCCCACAGTCCAAAGATATGCAGGTTAGGTGAATTGGCTATGCTAAATTGCCCCGTAGTGTCTGGGGATGTGCAGGCTAGGTGGGTTAGCAGCTAAATGCAGTGTTACAGCGATGCAGTAGGTCTGGGTGAAATGCTCTTCAGAGGGTAGGTGTGGACTTGTTGGGTGAATGGCTTGCTTTCACACTAGTGATTTTATGATCCTAGGAATGAAGGACCCGAAACATCAACTTTCCTGCTCCTCCGATGCTGCCTGGTCTGCTTTGTTCCTCCAGGTGGGATGTTCTGAGGTTCAGTGTGGGCTTGTGGCTTGTTTCTACACTGTAGGGATTCTATGATCTAGCTTTTCTCCAATGGTAGGGGAATCTAACACTAGAGGGCATAGGTTTAAGGTGAGAGGAGAGAGATACAAAAAAGTCCAGAGGGACAATCTTTTCAGCTGGTGCTGTGTGTTTGGAATGGACTGCAAGAGATAGTGTGGAAGCAAATACAATTTCATCATTTAAGAAACATTTAGACAGGTACATGGATGGGGTAGATCTGGAAGGATATGGACCAAATGCAGACAAATGGGACTAGTTTGTGAAAAACTGGGTAGTATGGTCAAGTTGGGCCGAAGGATTCCACGCTGCAGATCTCTATGACTTTGAGATTGCTTCACATGCGAATACTTGTGCATTTGGAGAGACTAGATTTGATAGGGGTCAATTAGTCTTCATATTTTACACGTCCTCTGTGTAGTCTAGTCTTGCAGAGGAACCATAATTAAGGGGAGTTTACTGAGCATGGTGACAAAAGATTCATGTAAGGAGAGGTTATTGACTTTTTTAAAAACACAACAGTCTTTAGCATTTTCAGATGATGTGAAAGGAGGGATGGGGAAATGTTGATCAGTTGTAACTTGGTTGGTAGTACTCTCATCTCAGAATGATAAAGTTCTGGATTCAAGTCCAATTCTATGCCACAAGCACAAAAATAAAAGCTGCCACTCCAATGCTGTACCGAAGGAACGTTGCACTATCAGTGGTGCAATCTTTCAGATGAAATTGAAAAACAGGCCCTAATGGAGGATGTAAATGTGTTCGAGGTTGTTCTGAGAAGATTTACTGGATAACTGGAATAGGCAGACTGTTTTAGGAGGAAAGCTGACACAGATTATGCTTATATCCATTGGAGTTTAGAACAGTAAGAGGCAACTTGACAAACACAAAACTATTAGTGGTCTTGTCAGGGAAGTTTTGGAGGGGATATTTTTGCTTATGGGAGAATCTCGAACTGTAGTTCACTGTTGAAAAACCAGGAGTTGCCCATTTAAAAAGGAAATTAGGCAAAACATTTTCTCTCAGAGGGTCATGAATCTTTGGAACCTTTTTCCCCAAAAAGGTTGTGGAAGCAAAGATTTTGAATATTTTTAAGACTAGGTAGATTCTTGTTCAGCAAGGGATTGAATTGTTATTGGGGATAAGTGGGAATGCAGATTTGAGGTAAGTGGTTGAGTTGGATTTGTCCTGCTTCTTGTGCATGGGACATACCTGGGCAATTTCTACATCATCGTGTAGGTGCCAATGTTGTAGCCGGTACAGTTTGGCCAGGGATTCGGATAGTTCTGGAATATACATTGTCAGTACTATTGCCAGGATGCTATCAGGTTCCACATCCTTTGCAGTATCCAAAGCCTTCATAAGATACATATCATGTGGAGGGAATAAAATTGGCTGAAGACTGGCAGCTCTGACACTGAGGACATCTGGCTGAAAACAGACACTAATATTTCAGCCTTTGTTTCTTGCACTGATGTGCTGGGCTCCCCTATTGTTGAAGATGTGGATATTTATGGAACCTCTACTTCTTGGTGATTGTTTCATTGTCCACCACCATTCATGATGGATGTAGCGGTATTACCGCGCTTAGGTTTATCTACTGGTTGTGTGATCACTTAGTCATGTCTATGCATGCTGCTTCCATGGTTTGGCATACAAGTTATCCTGTGCTGTACCTTCACAGGTTGACACTTCATTTTTAGGTATGCCTAGTGTTGCTCCTAGTATGATCTCCTGCACTCTTCATTGACCAAGGGCTAATCTCATGACCTGATGGTAACAGTAGAATGAGCAATAAACTGGGCCATTAGGTCACAGATAGTGGTTGAGCGGAACGCTGCTGTTGGTGATGGCGCACAATGTTTCATGGATGCTCAGTTTTGAATTGCTAGGTCTGTTCAAAATCTGCACCATTTAAAACAGTGGTAGAATCACACAACACAGTGGAGGGCATCCTCTAGGTGAACACAGGATTTTACCTTCATGAGGACTGTGTGGGCAGTCAGCTATCACTAACGTCATGGAAGAATGCATCTGCAACAGGTAGATTGGTGAGGGTGATGTCAAATAGATTTTTCCCTTACGTTTATTTCATCATCACTTCCTGCAGACCCAGTCGAGCAGCCATGTCTTTACGAACTTGGCTGGTTTGCTTAGTGGTGGTGCTACTGGGAATGGTTCATGACACCTGGAGAAGTGAGACTCTGAAAGCTTATCTTACAGTTGGACTATAACCTGGTGAAATGTGATTTTTGAACATTGTCTGTAAGGTATGATACTGAGAGAATGACTAGTCTATGAGACAGTTCTTTTAACTTTAGCACAAGCCCCCAGATTTTGGTAAAGAGGATGTTGCAAGGCTGGGATGGCTGTGTTTGCCACTACTGCTTGCGCTGCCTGGATTGATGCAAGGTGGTCAGTCTGGTTTCATTCCTTTCTTTAGTCTTTGTAGTGACTAGATAAAACTGACTGACTTGCTAGGCTATTTCAGAAGGTAGTTAAGCATCAACCACATTGTTGTGGGTCGGAGTTACCTGCTGGCCAGTCCAGGCAAAGATTTCCTTCCCTGTCAGACATTAGGGAACCAAATGGGTTTTATGATAAATCACACTGATTACATGTTCACCTTTAGGCTAGTTTTTGATTCTACATGTTGTTGAATTAAAATTTCATCAATGTCCTGCCACACAACTGTACAAGATACTGAATATAGATTAATACCCAGCAGACTACACAGCCTAGATGCTGCACACAATTGGTATCCTTGCCAGATTCACATCTTTCGAAGTGCTTCTGTTTAAAAAGGATAGCCACCAATGGTCCCCTGCACATTCAGAAATGAGTATATGATGATCATTTTGGGAACATTATGGCATTCAATGTGAAAGAAGAGAAGCATTGCCCATGCTGACTACTGTATTTATCTATTTGATGTATGTCATTGGGATTGTTGTAGATAGTGCTGTTCTGGTAAAAATAAATAAGTTTTAGTGCTATTTATACTTTATTTTAAAAGTTAAATTCAAAAGCCTGGAGATACATCTTTCTCCTAGATGATTAACAGACTGTTTAAGATTAGCTATTAATGGTTCTTCAAAAAATGAACTGCACAAAGGTAAGGAGGAATAATTAAGTTTCCCATCAGTACTTAAGTCATTTTTAATGAACCGAGACGCCATTACAAAAATGAATACAAAATGATTAGATAAAATGACCACATTACAATACAAAAAAATCTAGCTGCAATGGAAATCTTTCATGGCAGTTATCGAAGACAGCTTTATCTGTAATTACTCACTATACAATGGAACAGATTTTGAAAAGGGAAGTTAAAAACCAAAGAGTACCTTAATGCAGACAGAAGCAATATTGTTAAATTTTGCATTTCTAATACAATTGAGCAGTTCATCATGAACACCTATCGCTCTGTATCCGGTTTCATAATAAATTAGAAAAATAGGTTCTTGTTTGAATAGATATTTTTAAATTAAAGGGGTAGGAAATAAATTAACATCTTAAAGCTCAAATATTTATCGCATGTACAGCAGACCAGACTAGTAGCCATTTAACATGACCTTAAAACCAGGCAGTATCATGTAAAATCAGAAATATGTGCAATAATCTAAATCAGTCTTTTCTTAAAAAATCTTAAAATTTCAAAGCAAGTTATTGTCACATCTTGGTTGTGAAGGATGGAAAATTGTCTTCAGTTATAGGTATTACCCGCTAATTTAGACCAGTTTGTTTTTCTGGCTCCTGAGTTGAAATATCCAAAACAGTTTCCTAGTTCCAGTTCAAACTTTCACCTATATGTTGCGTGATGATTTATCTACATTTGATGAACCAATTTACTAAATAAAGCATTTTACAGTTAGGGAAGCAGGATCATTCCCAACAATCAGATATTTAGTTAACTGACCAGAGGAGAACATAGATAGGAATCTGAAAAATAATAAGCTGAAAAAGTAAAATCTGTAAAAGCTGAATTAAACATTCTTAGGCACCTAAATTAGTTGTCAAACTATCTGGAGTTAATGGTATTATTTTCATTACTTTCCAATGGGGTACTGAATGTTAAATTAATCTCTGCATAGTGATATTATATCATATTTAATAACTAAATGTTTAAGCGTTGGAAGAAATGAGCTATTGCTGATGCCTTACAAAAAGACAATCAATTGATTCATAGCTGACGCCAAATCCAAATACTGTTGTTGGTTCAGGCATTGTTCAAAATGTTCAACCCCTTAAAGATTAAGTAATTTCCCAGAAATTCACAACAAAATTTGTCATAAATACTTTTCTAAAGTCATCAGTAGTACACTAAAGGCCCCTTAAATCATCAAGATTCGATTTAGTGACTTCCAGTTAAATGTATACAAATGTTTTAGAAAATTGAATATACAATTAAAAAATATACAACTGAAAAGATCTACAAATGTGTACCCATGCAAATCACAAATGATGTATTGAGAAAACCTAAGGCTAAACACGGAATAATATGTAGGACCAGAAAGAAATAAAAACACCAAAAAAAAAATCAAGTAACTAAATTTGTCAAAGCGTAAAATTTAATATCCTGACAGGTTAGTTCTTACAGTGTCCCAAACGTTACTCTTTGAACTTCTAACCGAGTTTATCATGAGCCAGAAATGATACTGTACATTGTACGTTCATAAAATTATACCAGTACACAGCAATATACAAATCAATGCTTAACAATAATGCCTTACTGTTGCAATGTGTCAGTAGAAAATTACAATGACGTATGTATTCACACCAGTTTATCCTCAAAAATATTTTGTACAACATAATGTTGTATTCCTGCTTCGAACCATAAGGCTAGAACCATTTTAAATTTTCCATTACCACTGTTCAAAAGGATTATGCTACTTAGTGTATAAAAACATTCACAGTAAAATGTCACACAGTTAGCTGTTGATTGAACTGAAACTGGTGCATTAGTAATAAAAACATACCAACCTGTGATGTAACAATTCTGAATCCCACTATGAGTCAGGATTAAAAAATATGCATGGGTCTTGTTGATTCAAATGTGGCAAAATGGTTATGTAAAATTGTTCCTAATTTTGCATCTTTCATATTCACACTACATTTATTATTCCTACTGAAATTTCTTTCTTAGCCAATTTAAATAGTGGTGAATTGACCAAATAAAATATGATCACAATAGCTACCTAAAATATATTAGGCATTACTGATATTCTTGAATCTAGACCTTGGTGATTAACTGTCTACTTGAAAATTTTCTATTAGCCAGCTGATACTGATAGACATCTAGAGGCAGCAAAGGGGAAAATCAACGGTAAGGCAATTTGCTTTTTCATATATACATTAGGGCTAGGTGTGCAAATTTTACCACCTATTTTTACCTTGGTAATTTTTTTTTCTTAGAAACTATGTTAAAGAAGCTAGTTGTTACAGTTGTACACTAGACCTTTTAAACAATTTTTAATGATTCATTAAATTACCAGTGGTCCATTTTAACACCATGTATCCTGCTAGAATTATTCCCTTCGGATTATTTTAAAATTGCTGGTAATAACAAGAGAACTTGATAACTGTACTTACTTTTCCTATTTAAAAAAACTATTTCCCTTGAAGATTACTTCACAAAAACAGTGAAGAAATCCTACAACTGGATGGAAAAGTATTTAGATCAGTGCTTTAGGATGATTATTGAAGATAGTTGGTATAATCAAATTATTCAGAGGATGAACATTTTTATACCATATCAACATATACTCAATGGGGCAGACATTCCAGGTGAAGAGGAAACAAGGGAGATCCTGATTGTCATAAAGTATCAGAAAACATTTTCTGGACAAACAAAATTGTTGATGACTGCCAAGTGTCAATACGGGCAGGAATTTATGAAGACCTAGCAATCAAAAACTAAAATTTTGACCAGCTCATTTACATGACTATCTTGCATAATGTTAAACAAGGAAACAGTTAAACCAATAAGCTAATACTTAATGGCTATTAAGTAAAACCCTACTTGCACATCATTTTAGTAAATGGTGGAACTAGATCTCTTTACAAGGCCTACGGTAATGCTTTTACTCTGCTAAATAGGTTAATTTCTTTTATGCCTTGCCTTGCCATTCACTTTTACAATAAACTCTCCAATTCACTTACACTATTTTAGCAAGAACTGCTAATTTTTGCAAAATAGTAAATGAGCATTATGGGGGTCTTCATAAAGTATTCTGAAATTTACAAGCAGGATGCAAGGTTGCAAACTTGGACCCTTGTGGTGCAGTCGTAATATCCCTACCTCTGGGGCAGGCGGTCTAGGTTCAAGTCTTATTCGCTTCAGAGCTACGTAATATCAATTCTGTGTCAGGTTGATGAAAAAAAAATCTCCAAGATTATTATGGTGTGGTCAGTTCTTTCTAGGTGACTCAGCACCAACAGTTTCCCATATTCAGGTGGAGAATCTTAAATGGGGATAATGGGGTTTCATGGTTTTCATGGGAAGCAATGCAAATTAGTTGCAATTTCACTTTCAGTTCATCAATGTTAGATGTTTCCAGTCACAGATCAAGATTTTGATGTTTTCTGAAAAATCTGAAGCCATGCATCCAGACAAACATCACAAGAAGTTATCTTTATTACCAAGTACTGAATTTGTTTTAGACTGATGCAAATCTCTACGGACCAAATTCAGTGCAATCGTTTGATAATTAAACAGACATTATTAGAATTGCACAATTATTATTAATAAATCTGGGAAACTGGAAAGCAAGTACAAAATCTTCCACAAGATTAAACATTTTTTTTTGCAATATCCTGCACCATCTCTTCCTTTAATCAAATATTAAAGCTTCACAATTTCTGTTCTTTTAAAAAAAAAACTTTTATTCAAGTTCCTGAAAAAGACTTGAAAACGTGACAAACAGGGTTTGTAACAACAATTGTTTATGTAAACTGTATTGATGAATTGAGTGCCAATTAGATTTCTCTTATGACAGTATTCTCCTGTTACTGCTGAAATTTTCAGAATTTATTTTAGGAGAACTGTATCTTGCCCCACAGCAACAAACACTTCAGGATTTCATGTTGGAAGTTTACTTCAGCTTTAGATTTGCTGTCAACTGAATTTTTGTTTCGGGCATTTTGTAACAAATCTGGTTATCTAAGTTTCACTGAGAAATGACAGCAAGTAGTACAGGATCATATCAATTCACATTAGCTATAGATTTTTTTGGAATATTTGCACTGGCAAAAGGTCCGACATTTGTATTCTTTCAGAAGTTTATACATAAAATTATCATCAGGGTATATGTGAACACACTCAACTGTGGTACTGCATTAAGGTGCACTGGATAGAGGGACGTCCGCAGGTTACCTGTGCTGCAGTCTTATTGTACAAGAAGTATACCATGCACAAGTGGGGATAGTTTAACGCAATTGAAAACGTTACAGTTACAACCGCTGAGTTGTTTCACATTTTCATTCATAATGAATTAATAAATCATGAAATTTATTCATCGGCAACAGTATCCCTTTTTTCTTGGTCATATACAAGATTCATCTACAGAACACATGTAGAAGACCAGCAAAGCTCATATCTACATATCATTTTAGGCCAAAAAAGTAGTCTTTTGCTATTGTTTCCATAATTCCTGATTTAACTAAGTTCAAATATGATTAGATAAAACCATTAGATTCATTCTCAGGAACGTTTACATTCATCATGTGGTCACGTGGAATTAGCAAATTAAATATTTATCTAAACTTTCTTGTCAGTCCTGCACTGAACATGAGTGTTAATAGTTTACATTTCTCTTTAAAGGAAGCTCATTGGCAAGCCAAACCAGAGAATGAGAAGGAAGGATGGAACACCCTGAATGAAAATAACTAATAAAATGTTGGAAAAAGCAAAGTACAACACTTTATTTTGACAATTTTAGATTTAATATACATCAACAATAGGCTGTACCATCTTTAATGTTGGTTGATCTGGATGGAAATTTTGCATTCCTAATGAAAAAATTACACCAAATTGAATTACTTTATTGTGAATGATGAAGGTATAATTTCAAAAAATGATTTAACTTTTGAAGGTTATCATGTAGATATTTTTTATATAAGAAAGGAATACTGTCTATTGAAAAACTTTGTTTTTAAAAATCTTCCAATAAATAATACATCTAAAGAATACAAGCCTGCGGACGTCCAAAATTGGATAATATGTACACTTTTAAAACTATGAACAACTAGGCAGTGAAAAACAATTATGTTCTCACACACAAAGACACACCCAAAACATACAAAAATACTATATCTTAAACTACCAAGAAAGACGATTTTTTTAAAATCTCATGCCATGACTTAAGAGCAATACACTGAAACGAACAAGAATTTGACAAAAAAAAAAAACCTTTATCCCAGAAATATACCAAAATATACATCTAAGCTTTGGGATTACTGAGGTTAGACTAATGCCTGCTGGGTAATTGCATTTAATACACAATTAAGGTTGCAAAGAAGAAACAAATCTTTGGTATCTGCATTAGGCGAATGTTAACATTTGTATTTCGCTTTGGGATAGAGCTTGTATGATCCTACAACCCCCAGTTAGTACTCAAAAAATATCACTGAACACAAAGAAATCTACCTTTCTCTACACAAAAAAGTACTGAGTCTCTACCTATCACAAGGTTGAGGAATACAATGCATAGTTGCACAGTGGTATTACGAAAAGGATATGAAACCTTTGTAAGCAAGCTACATATTTTTTAGTCTCATTTTTCTTTTGCAAAATGAAACGGCAGCGTCCAGCCAGTTACAGTCAGTTCGGAAGAGCACCTCAGTGTGTATTAATTCAGATCACCCAGCCCAAAGGGATAAATGCCCCTCAGAAGAGCCAACCCTACCACAGGAGTCTCCAGTCCTTTAACCAATCAAATAGCACATGTGCTCCACTTTTAGCAGGCTGTCTACTGTTTAATAGATGGAATGAAGCAGATTTATTTTGCTTTATGCAATTCTTTTGTCACTGTAAGCAACTCATACTTTTGAAATAAGATTAGTTTAGGACTGAAGACATTTAAAAATTTAAGTCATACAATCATTAGTAAGTCTTTGGTTTTATCAGCACAATGAAAGGTTGCTGGCATGTAATAAAAGCATTGAGCATGGCAGGAATGACCATCACTAACACTTACATTCAGACAGCGAGCGTCATTCTCAGGGTATTTTTAATGATGGACAAAAACCATTACTTAATCTGATACGAGATTGTCAAAACTGAACAGCCCCTTGTTATTCAACCAATATTTGGCTTTGAGCACTATTGTGCATTCATTTGTTTGAACCTCAGAATAGCTGACAGATGCAGCCAAGGAGAAGAATTATTACAATGTAACACGTCTTTATTTTTGACTGAAAATCACTCAGAAATTAGGCTTGATTTTTTAAAGTACATAAAATGTAAGTTTTATAATTAATAAGTGTGGTCTTAAGCAATTGGAAAAGAGGCTACATATAGTATTCAGAATTTGCTAAATTATTTCAGCATAAAGTCACTTCGCTAGTGTTCATTAGTCTATCCCAGTCAGAAGAGACAACAGTTTTTTCAGTCATGAAAAACTAGGTTTGCAACTAATTAAATACACACATCCACTAAGAATGGTGAGGTCGCCTGCCATCATGTCTAACCAGTTCTCCAATTAAGGAGCTGAGAGTCAGCCCAACAAGCTGCTCATGATGCACCATAACAGAGCATGAACTGCCGGATGTATCTAGTTCAAAAACCACTTAGTTGCCTACACACCATTAAGCGTGGCTAGGGCGACAACAGTTCATCTAAAAATATTTGGAAGAAAGATTGGACGGAATTAACAGCTAATAAAACAGTTAAAGACATAATGGAAAGGTTAAAGGATTGCAATACCTCAATGCCTACTTTAACTTTATTTGCCAATTCTGACTGCCGTTATTCTCCTGCTGTGCTAGTGCTAATACATGCCAGATTTCTTTTTAAGTATACAGTTTAAGTATACAATCAGTAGCAGGTTCAGCCACTCTGAGGGGGGAGATTAAAGCGAGTTACTCAGTCATGAGTTAGAAATGAGGTATACAACAGCTCCTGTACACAGAACAAATGGTGACAGCACCATTTAAGCAACTGAGGAAGAAAATGAAATAATCACACCATGTGAGTAGACAAATGCAAACCTGAAGCATTTCCATTTAAATCTGTACTATGCTCAAGTAAATGGGCTACCAGACACGATATATTTTCCGTCCTCCTTGTAGCTCAGTAACAAAAACAATTGTATAATGCGTTGCGGCACTGGTGATGTAATTGGAAATGATGCAATTTCAAAACTCACCATTGCACTGGACAGGGCAATTCCTAGGATAGCTGGCGCAGTCACAGACACTTAAGTCTCTAAACTTCTATTTGGGAACAGCAAATCAAGATATTAGTGGTTTTTGGTTAGCCATTATGATATTTTTAAAGGTATCCGAATCAACTGATAAACAAAATATAATGGAATACAATGGGTCATTTTTCCTATCGGTATCAAATTTCTTTCCCCAGGAAATTAATTTCTATTGCAGCTAGGTTGCTATTCTACCATAATTAGAATGGTTAATCTTAATAATTAGTAGAACAGTAAAACAAAACCCATTCATTTATCAGCAATTTCTGATTCAGACTAAGACTGCAACAAAATCTCAAATGCACCTTACAAAAGTAACTAACTGTATGATTGTCCTATTACAGATGTGATGCTTTCACAATATATATGGAGGCTGTTATATATAGTATTTTAAAGAGGTTACTATAAAGATCAAAGTTAAGTACAGAAACCTGTCTGGTATTCATAACAACTGTGGGAATAAATCTAACAGAATTTCATTTTCTTCCTCAGAATTCCTTCATTTATTAATTTACTATACAAACTGACCCATACTTTGTTCCAAGTGCTCTTCTTGTATAACTGGAATGGATGCATTAAGACTTCTATTTTACATCATTCTCTAAGAGTATGTAGCTCTTTACAAAACCAGCCACTAAAATGAGAATCAATCCTACCTGCAAAATCCATCAGGGCAGACTTGTTGTAAAATTTTTGTTTTTGTATTTATAAACCTCAAGGTAACCGAACATTGGTTCTTTCAGAATCCTTAATTTAGTTTGTTCCTAGTATAATAATTCCAATTGAATATTTCAACAATTAATAACTGAACCACCAATTGGTTTTCATGCCTTTCCTTATCATTTCAAAGTAAGGAATTTAATATCAGTGACGTAGCTGTGTGTATCTACCAACTAAAAGCTAACAATTTTATTTTGCTTTCTTTGAGAACTTCTAGATGAAAAATGATGAGTAACAGCAGATGTGAATTCACCATGGAGCGAAGTGAACAACTCTTGTTTATACATAAATCATCAGTATCACCAGTTTACATGCATATTCTGCCTATCAAAAATTGAAAAGTTTGACTAATTATAAATTGTTACCATATATAATTGTGGAGACAGTTTAAATAAAAGCAAATTGCAATGTACAGATCAGATCTCACTGCACAGGAAATGCAGAGAAAATGAAAAGCTGTTCAGCTTATAGCAAAAAGGAAATGGATTGATCAGAGAATTTCTGGAGTGTTTGACAGAAGGGTCAAGCAACTTTTTCTGCTCCTCTAGTGAATTATAGTTACTATTTTAGGAGTATATCAAAGAAAGCATAATAAAGCAAAAATTGGTCAGATATCACTAGCTTCTTCAGATCAGAGTCAGCTGCAACACTTTCATCAGGCACTTCAAATGAATACAGTATCAAAAGCTGAGTAACATTTTTAATACTGTACCAGGGATGACCGAAAGCTTTGGAATACTTTAAATTTCCTTTTGAAAGATGGAGAGCTGGAGAAAAAAGTGATATTTTACTAGTTGTTTGGAAGCTATTTCAAGTGGTATAAGACCAGAAAATGTTGGAAACATTCAGCAAACAATATTACAAACCTTTTGCTGATCTCCATACTACAGGATACTGTGACTTTCCTAAGTAATCCTTTTAACTTACCATTAATTATTTATGGTTTGTAAGTATTACTATAACACAAACAAGCTGAAACTGTAGCAAAAAGAATTGAATACTTTAGGAAACAAAACTCACAAGTTACTTTGTTTGGTGTGGCAAGTTAAGCGATCAAATATCCTGACACAATTTTAAACTGGAGTTTTATAATGCCCAATCTTGGTACAACTTTAAATTTCTAATACAAAAAGCAGAGCAAACATCACCAATGCCCAACTGTCACAGACTAGCATCAATACCAGACTACAGCTTTATGTAATGACACCAGAAAGACATTTGTTATGCAAAGCTCAAACGTAGTTCTTCAGCAAAACCACTGTAGCCCTAGGATTTTTAACTGCCCACAGCACTACCCAGTTTCGCAATAACTTTGGATATTATATATATTAAACCTCTACTTGTGTCATAATTGGCAAAAAACACTTAGTAGCCATTTACTTTTGGATGGTAGCACAATAAATGATAATATTTAAGGGTGTGCAATATAATGCATTTTTTTTTCACTCTGCTAGAATATAAAACCACAAATCAAAAAGAGAAAACAAAGAGAGAGATAAATACAGAAATTGAATAGCTTTTTGAAAAGCAAACCAAACTCAAAAGGCCAGCTGTTTCAAACTGCAATCAAACAGTTTTCATAGCAGGATGTGCTATATTGCATGAAACATAAAAAGAAACTGGCAAAAGGCAGGAAAGTATAGAGTTAACTATTATTAATTTGACCAATAAATCATGTAGCTAAAACATTTATTGACAATAGTTATTGGCTGAAACTTATATATTAAAGATTAGATTGACACAGTTGCCACTTCAGCGACTTAAAATAGTCAGCTACATGGACAACCCATCTTCACTACATGAAAAGAACATTATTGCACAGCCCCAATATTTGCTAGTACAGAATTTTACCTTAAATCAGTTAAATCATGTTACCGATGCTTTATAGCAACTTTTGAATCCAAATATGTGAATAATGACTACTTCTGAATCCAAATATATGACACAATCCACCTTGATACCTCAGGATTACTGTCAAATTGTTGAAAATTCTCATTCTATCAACTGTATACAAACATGAGAGCTGGGACAGTCAAACTGTTAAGCCTCTGTTATTCTAAAGCACAAACTAAATGACTGGAGGCAACCGCAGCCACATATCAACTTAATTGTTCGTTGATCAGTCAAGCAGGTGCAAGGAGCAGCATATATTTTTGGTCTAGCCTGAATTGTTTAGCATTGCTATCAACAATAATAATACAAAGTTTAAAAACTTGCTCAACTATTAATGTGACAAACACTACATTCAATTTAAAACATAGACAAAACTTGTTCACTTCTTCCTTTTCCTAAGGAAACGTCTTTCTATGGTGGAATTCTCTCCCACCCTGACATTGGTGAATTAACCCCTTTCTATCAAAAGGCTGGTGAAAACGAACAGTATGGTACTGCTTACAAATGTAGGATACAAATCTTAACTAGCTTGAAAATAGTGAGGTGACACATGCTAAAACTTAGGCCACATTTTAATTGAGTTGCAAAAGAAGGCATTTGCTTTGGCAAATAGAATCATGAGTAATTGATTTCTTTAGTTATCAAGATCACCTTTTCAAGAGAGAAATTAAATCCGCGAGCATGTTCTTTTAAGTAAAAGTTTCTCCCAAAAATCAACATCTACATTCTAAATCTACAATCATATCCACCAGGAATAGTGTTTGCGTTGCAAAGCAAGCCTGTAAATGCTATGCAATGCTGAGGTATTTCTTAATGGAAAGATTGCAATGATTGAAAAAAGCTTGCTCACTTTCTACCTACAGGGTGCAAGATCTGTCTCATTTGCCAATGAAAATGTTTGCACAAATAGTGTAAAGCCATTTTTTTTTTCATTTAACAAATTTAAGGAGGATAATTGTATGTTCAGATGGGATCCCCCACCCCCAATTTCGTTCACATAAAATGGGGAAAATACATTATTTCTCTTTAACTTTTGGTCTCCCTACTACTTCAACAGGATCCACTCAATGCTGTAGAAGTCTTAGAAAGGAGCTCATGACAGCTCCATAAACCTCAAAAGAAAACACAACTGTAATCAACTTAAGTGGAATATCAATTTTCTCCTTTCAGCCCAAGATGTGGTTCCCCAATATGGTGCTCAACCTGATCTACTATGATAACTATATCTATGATAATCAGGGATTCATCATCCCAGTAGCAGCGTTACATACCAAGAAAGAAAATCACTGCTAATTGGGAAAAGATATTTAAGATAAATGGCAAAAGAATCAGAGAGGAATAGAATTTTATTTTAATGCAAGAGTATGATCTAGAAGATAATGCCTGAAAGATGATGGAAGCAAGCTAGACAGTAAAGGCCAAACAGCTTCCTTCATTGCTGAAAGATACTACAAATTTTATGGAGTATTGTAGAACAATTTCTACATGCCGTGCTCAGAAGTGAACCTCATCAAATCAATACAGGTCCTATACAATGTTTTTACCAAATAACCATTAATAAAATAAGTTATGTCTTTAGCAAAGGGTTGATTATTTTCAAAGCATTATTCAGTAGCTCTTGGTACAATAGTGCTATTAATATCTGAAGAAGTAAGCTATTGCCACAAATAGGGAATTAAATCATCAACAGAGCTGCACTGCCAATTCCACGGTCAATTTGCATTTTATGTTTTTGTTTGCTTTTTTTGTATTTTGAGGGGGGGGCAATGTGGAGGTATCAGTTTTAGAGTAGAAAATAGAAGTGTGAAACAGAGATTAGACACTACACAGAAGTATTACAAATCTGCTTAAAGTAAGTTTTCATTTTGACTATTAGGAGTTTATAAACTGAATGAGTTACGTTCACCAGATTACTACCAGAGATGAAACGATTCACCAGATTAATTCTAGAAATGAAAGGCTTGGTTTATGAGGAAAGATTGAGCAGTTTGGTCCTAGACCAACTAGAGTTTAGAAGAATGAGAGGAGACCTAATTGAGGTATTTAAGTTGCTAAGGGGGATTGACAAAGTTGATGCAGAATGGATGTTTTCCCTTATGGGGTAACCTAGAATGAGAGGTCATAGTCAGGCTAAGGGGTGGCAGATTTAGAACAAAGATGAGGAGGAATTATTTCTCTCAAAGGGTTGTCAGTCTGTCAAAATCACGACATCAGAGCGCCTTAGACACCAGGGCATTAAATAAATTTGAGGAGGAGATAGGTTAGATTATTAATTAGTAACACATTAAAAGGTAATGGGGAGTGGGCAGAAACTGAATTTGAGGCCAAGATAAAATCAGCCATGATCATACTGAATGGTGGAGCAGGCTTGAATCACCTACTCCTGCTCCTAGTTCCTATGTGATAAACCATGATCTAAACAGTGTTTATAAATCAAAGTGCATGTAGGCATACATGCTCCTTTCACTTAAGTCAATTTCGAGAACTGGATAAGGCACATCTCCTTACAGGAACACTGTGACTGCTTTCACCTGGTTGAAGACACCTATCATGACAGTTTGTGATAATTCTAGCACAAAAATACCTTAGATATTCCAAAGTGATCTTCTGACACAAACTGGTCATATTGCCAAATAAGAGGATTTAAAGTTAGGGAACAAACATAAAATAAAAATGACCACTTGATTTGTCAAACAATGCAAATTGTTAATTCCATTCTAAAGTTACGTTAGAACAAAGACACATTAACATATGACAGAACATTAAACCAAAATAACTTATAGAAATTTATTAGCCCTTAGCTGATCAAGCAGTTAAAATGTGACATTGCTCTTGTATCACAACTGGGCAATAAAACTTTCACTATGGAACTATGGCCCAATCTGATGCCTAAACTAAGACATTTACTTTGGATTCTAATGGTGCAATGTTGATGTATGCCCAATATACATACAAATTATTTGGCTTAGACCAATAAATATTTACACATCTCAAAAAATTTGGTTAAGATTAAGCCTTTGAAGATCAAAGTCAAAAGCTTGCTACTTAAAATTCTGGGAACAGCATATACATGCACTGAAAATATGCTAAATGTATACACATATTGCATTCAATACTGGGTAATTAAAATTTTGAGATTCAAGTATTTATACAACATATAAAACGGTATATTCCAAGGATGTGGAAGATGGATACATGGACACACTTAGTTCCAGTTTATTTTAGAAACTATCTTTTTGTGCATCCTCAATGACAATATACAATCACATCAGAGGACCAGTTTTAGACTCCATTCAAGAAATGTACTGAAATTCACAACCCTCAACTATTTGAGGAGGAGGAATATTTGAACAAATGTCTCAAAGCCAACAAGATGCATTTGAATTTGATAATATAAATGCCTCAATCACAAAATGTTGCTCGCATTTGTTCATGGATTTCACATATTTAGGTTTGAAATTTAATCTATTAGCATCTGAGGCTTTTAAAACAAAAATACCTTTAAAAAATTCTGTTTTAAGAAATATGGCAAATAAGTTATTAAGATTAAGTCAACATTTTAGAATTTTCTTAAAAACAGATAATAAGTTTAGAAACATAGGTAAAATATTCATCCATTAAGAGTAAATTAATTAATTATTAGCAAGAGCACTTCCAGAATTCAATATTTTTAAAATGGACAGTTTATCATTTATCATGAAGTATGTCCCACCTTAATGACCAACTTGTATTTTACCAATTTTATCTGATCTGAAAAACAATAGTCACCTTTGATTCAAGTGGATTGATGGATTAAATCAGTATGTGTCTGACTTTATTTTATGGAAAGATGACAAAATGGGACAATGGCATAAATGGCAGTTTTGATCAGTTGAGAGCATGAATTGTAACCATTGCAACCATAAGAGCTCTGAATTGTTGCCAAGTAACTAAAATGACTAATTTTGCTTATCAAAACTATTCCTTATATTTACCTAGGTATCATTCAGTTCCAAAAACCTACTAACGCAACCAATTTTTATTGGCATAACTCAATGTCTCATAAGCCATTAGCATTTGCCAAGTTGGTGCAAATGATACTACTCAGCTCTAACAAGGGCAAAACATAATCCTGGAAGAAAATCCTGGTTTGATTGCTTCAACCTCAAATTACATCTCACAAATAAAAGCAGGATTTTCTTTGCAACGGACTAATGCAGTGATATAAGACTACCTCTGTAGCAAAACATTAATCCATTAAGGAATATAAAATTAAAAACTTTACTGCAACTTATTTTCTGTTTCCTTATTCAGAGAAACAACAAAGAATTAGAACTAGCTCAGTTAGGTTCAAAATTTAAATATTAACTGTGGTCTGAGGTCAGCTATAAAGCATTATTTTAAAATTTCTATGGGAGCATTCCCTCAACTTCTGTTTCACTACCGCCGTCAATGACCAGCATTCAATTTTGTCTTGCATTTAAACTTGAAACAGTCATCTCAGCTTTATGCTTATTTTTCTTCTTGCTGCTTTTAGAACATTTGCTATTTATGGAGCAAGCAGAAAAAATCAGGATCAAAAAAAGGATTCGCAGAAAGCTTTCTGCTATTCAATGACCAGTTTTATCCATTAATTCACATCTGTTTAACATGAAAGGGCATGCAATAAAAGCTCCAAAATACATTAGGTTGACATCAACATGGGTTAAGTATTATAACTCACCTGGCCAATTTACCTTCTAGTGCTATATATGTAATTCCCTAAATGAAAAGCTAGCTCAGCAATTGAAGTTCAATACTTGAGCCATGCTACCAAGCAAGTATATTAGTAAGCGAAGGTCTCATCTCTAGAAAAGCACTTCACCTTTATTCAGACACTCAGCATTGTGGGGATATCTTTTCCCTGCTCCTCACATGCAATGCACTTTATTATTGCCACCAATGTGACTGCAGGCAACTGGTCTTCATTGCATAGTAGAGCAATGACAGAAAACTGTAATGAGGGCAGAAGTATCATAAGTATGATTTGGGTGGGCGTTGGGATTACAGAATGGCCTGGTTAAATACCTGCTTTGGAGGACTAAAGGATTTTGGTTTACATTTGTGCATGGGGTCCAAACATTTCCCATCAGTCCAAAGTCCAGAATCTACTATTAGGAAAGTAACAACATTCTTTTAAAATTTGATTGAATATCCAGTGAAAATAGTACATGAGTACATAAACTAGAAGGATGCAAGTACTGCAGCAGTATAATCTGTCACAGGATCTGTTTTGTACAGTTAGACACTCTGAAGGTTTGTACAACTTGGAATATTTTTAACTTCCTTTATATCACTAACACCAGTCTACATTTAGCCATCCAGTAAATTTGAATTGCCCAATGAAAACTGGTTGCACCAGACTCTTGACAAAATGATTACTATCCTGCAAAATTGTAAAGTTCATGTTTGAAGATTCCTTTACCTGAAAAATGACATTAAAAAGTATAAAATAGTAACTGTTTAGCTTCTATGAACAGGAGCAACTAAATTACTGATGCCTATTAACTGCACTCATGCAAACAATGTCATTGGTACAGCAGCTAGGTAAAACTGACTTTGGTTCAAGCTTTTAATAGCTGTCCATATTTGGTAGGCAGCCATATTCATTTTGTTTGCAGTTTGGTAGTGCAACCCTACCAGAACTGCATATTTTGTGTCTTGAAAAGGAGATTAATGTAGTTACTAACAAGGAAAAAAAATGGTGGCTGTCATTAATTTTAAGATTAGAAACTGGTTTAATTGTGCCCTGTTATTGTTACTAGCATAAAGAACAACATTAAACCACGTGAATTTCAATTATAACATCAATTCAAGTACCTACTTAGTACACACACAGTGCAGCAATATGACCGAATAGTCAGCAACAGAGCTCAGGGATGTCCGAATGAACACTTATTCGATTCAAGCACATTATTTGTTAAAGAATCAGCTGCGTTTATCAGAAAATATCATGTGCTACTGAACGAAAGAAATTTAAACCTCACATTCGTTTCCCGTGGGTAACTCAGCAGGAAGTTCACATGTACTGCGTAACTAAACATGTTGCTCATTAACCAATTGGGAATGCTGGACAATGTGGCCACAGCAATCATTCTGGCTTGTAATGTAAACCTTGCTCCTCTCTTACAAGTCCACTGCAGAAAATGACAGGCACCATTTTTATTCCATGTGAACTGCAATGCTCTACTCCAGTCCTTTAATTTTTGGTTTTAACATGCTTACAGCAATGGTTCAAGCCATACTGTGCATACTGTAAGCCTCTTGTCTCAAAACAACCCTATTTTCCCTTAAAGATAAACAAACACCAAACTGTGCCAACATTAGATATGTTATCAAGCTGTATGGGAACATAGATTATTTAGTTTCTATAAATAGATCAGTTTTGGGAAACTAAATAATGAATTTTTCCCATTGGTTTTTATGGTTGATTTGGCGTATTTGTAGTTTGCTCATCTCTACCATATTCCATGATGGTTTCAACTGGTTTCAGTATCTGAGCAAAGACAAAAGCTTCACAAGATACCCATGATCCACTGACAATAAAGTCTTCTCCATTTCCAGTTGTTCGGCTGTGTGGATCAATATTGCTGATGGTATGACATTTGCTAACATATCCAACCCTTACATTTAGGAAGGACAGACATACTAAGCCATTTTAAAAACCAAGAATGTTTTTAAAACCATCAGTTTGTGAACTTTTGCTCAAAGCATCTAACTTTGAATCTTTCCTACAAAAATAACCAACAGTAAACCACTTTATACAAACGGTGCATAAATCTACAGTGTACCCGACAAGGAACAACCTTTTTTTAAAGAAAGGAGACAATTCAAGAGACATTAACAAGAAGAAAAAAAAATAAAACCCAATGTAATTTTCTTAACAGTATACACAGGGAAAAAAAAAAGATGCACAAGCATCCCAAGTACAGGCCTGCCTAAACTGTACCAGTTAAAGAAACCCATGCTATTTATACATGATATAAACACCTTTATGAAACAAAAAGGCCTGTACAACAGACCTAATTAAAATAAACACACAATTAAAAAGAACTAATAAAATAGATACTAAAGGAGACAGAACCCTTGCCTATGCATTGTTAATGACTCCTATATTGTTTCGACCATCTGAAACGATAAATATTCACGTGTTTCCTTTTTGGTAGAAGTCTTTTTTTGTCATTTGTGACACAATCCTGAAAAACAAGCAAGTTAAAAAAATTAGGCAAACATCAGTTTTGCTTTTGCTGGAAGCAGCCAACTACACATCCCATTACTGGATTAAATGATCCACTCTAGGGAGTACGTCTCATTGGGCCTTGGTGGTGTTGGTGGCCCCACCTGCTGAGGTCACAGTGAACGAAGAGTTCTGGCTGGAATCAGTTGACATAGAGGCCATCTGGAGACTCGCTGCATGTCCAGTTGTCCCGGCAGCAGATATCAGGCTTACGGCTGGGTTGCTGGTGAGTAAGGAGAGGTTTTGTGGGTTCAAAAAGAGAGGGCCTGTCACGATGTTTGGAGTACCCCCTGGGTTCGCTGCATTGGCAAACAACAGATTTCCACTGGCATCAAGGGAGGTTATAGGAAGTGTTCCACTAGATGCAAGTGCTGAGAAGAAATGAGAGAGATTCCTGGTTAGAATAAATGTTTTCTCAGAGCTCTTTGCACCATCTGTACATTGAAAAGGGAAATAGAATGGAAAAATGGCTTAGTTTGAATAATCAAATATATTAAAATTATTGATAACAATACCAAAGTGACATAAAATTGCATTTTCAGATTGCTGTATGTATATGAGACAAAACAAATGTAGAAAAAGTTTACAAATTGTAGGCTCTATCCAAATAACACAACAATCCAATTCTTTCCTATTTCATTTCAAATAATCAATGAGCAAATTCCAGAATCATAAAATACTGGTATACAATCATTTTGCATTGTAGTTTGTATAGGTGAATAAAGGAAATAATCAGTCAGGGACACATTAATTTAAAACATGCTTGAAGTCAAGGTTTTTTGTTTGCTTGTTTAATTTCAGATTACTACTTTTAAATTTAAGCTCCAATCAATTCATTACCAGATTAGCTACAAGTACTCTAATGAAGGTAATACAGGTTCTTAAAAATACATTTGTAAAAACAAATATTGCAAACTTCAGTTTACAAAAAGAAATCACTTAAAAGCAATGACTTTAAACAAATGATACATACTAACGTGCTTTGCCTTTTTATTAATTTCTCTTGACAACTGTGGTTTAACCCAGTTTAAAACCATAGCCAAAGGAATTTTATATGAACATATTTAACTTTTGTGAGCTGTTATCATTTACTGCCTGATATGCCTCATTTGACTTAATTTTCCAGATTAATACATGTTACTACAATATTGTAGTAGTCTATGCCTCTTTAAAACAGATGTTATGTATTTATCCAATTTTTCTACATGGGAGCTACAGAATCAGGCCTTTTCTGAAATTAAAACTGTAAGTCCGATAAGTACTCAGTGGGTCAGGCACTACTTCTTGACAGAAAAATAAAGTTAATGTTTCAAGTCAATGATGTTACATCAGAACTGAGAAAAAGAACTAAAACATTTTAAGCAAGTACAGATTTGGGAATATAGGAGGCATGGAAGAAAAACAAAAGGTCTGAGAGAGGGTGGAAGAGCTAAAGAAACAAGGTAAAAGGGATGGTGATGGGACAAGAAAGGTAACAAAGGATAAATCAAACGAAATCATAATTAAGACAGGCAGAATCAACAACTGCTTTCCAAACAAGCAGTCCAAACCAGCACAGAGCAGGAAATTGTTCAATTCCATGTTGAGTCCAGAAAGATACAAAATTCTTAACTGGAAATTGTAGAGCTGTTTCTCAAGAATTAAAATTGCAGGTGACCAGAAAGTTGGAATCACACTTGTGGAGTATGCGCAGGTAGCAGCAGTCTCCCCATTCCTCATAAAATTTTGTCCAAGATTTAATGAAATCTCCCAGTTCAGGCCAAGAGCAGGAAATGAATCCACTCTAAGTCATCAACATAATAGAAAAACAATGATAAGAAATGAACATGAGAAGAACTAGAAGAAAAAGGGTTCCACGTATAAATTTGCAGAATGGGAACATAATAGAAAAACAATTTCAACATAACTAAGTGTAAGATATTACACTTTGGAACGAAAAATAAGAGGGTTGCAAACTATTTAAAAGAAAGAATCAAAATAGGGTAGAGGAATGTAGTAATCTAGAAGTACCACTACACAAATTACAAATGATAATCATACAGGTCAAGGGCCTGAGGGCTTCTTTTTAGACAGACAAAATTGAGTAGATACGTTAAAATATTTTGAGCTTTGGTTAGACCATACCTGGAGTATAATTCCAGTCTCTCTATCATAAAAAGGATATAGAGATAGGGGTCAGGTGGGGAAAGAAGTAGAGAATTACATCAGAAATGTTGGACAATGTCTATCAGGATTGTCTTTTTTATTTTAAAAGGGTGAAGGGTGACCAAGCAGAAATCTGCAAAAATCATTGATGGCTTTAACAGTCACTTTAGAGAGTACAAGATTTCCATTTATGAAGAGCAGGACCAAAGACCATCAATATAACAATCACCCAAAAAGAAAATCAAATATGAAATTCAGAATAAAACTGTTTATTCCGAGATCGTGAGAATATTGAACCCACTACCATGGAGAATTGAAATGAATACTATTAATGCATTAAGGGGAGACAGGATAACCACAAGGCAGTGGAAAATACTGGAATTAGTTGCGTGAAGGAAGGAATGCCGGTGTGGCCTGGTTGGATCAACTAGCCTGCTTCTGTGCTGTGTAATATCACACAAATAGGCAGATGTAGCTAGAATCCATGGATTTTTCTAAATGGAAGGTATTACTAAGTAAGTAAAAGGAAAAGCAGAATGTGTTCACGGGCTCAGACAGGTGGAAGGAGCTGGCAGTTGACGTGGACTGGCAAGACTTCAATTCAAGGAAGGAAAGCCCTTAAGTTGTCCTGGTGAGGATTGGAGGCATGGAGAGAACTGGCATCCGTGGTGACAAGGTAATTGTTAAGGCTAGGGATTTTAAATTGGTGGAAGGCATTAGATGAGTCATTGGCCAACAGGATTAAGGAAAATCCCAAGGCTTTTTATACTTATATTAAGCGCAAGACGGTAGCCAGGCAGAGGGTTGGCCCACTCAAGGACAGGGAAGGGAATTTATGTGTGGAGCCAGAGGAAATGGGCGAGGTATTAAATGAGTACTTTGCATCAGTATTCACCATAGAGAAGGGCTTGGTGGATGATGAGTCTGGGGAAGGGTGAGTAGATAGTTTGGATCATGTTGAGATCAAAAGGGAGGAGGTATTGGGGGTCTTGAAAAACATTAAGATAGACAAGTCCTCAGGGCCTGATGGGATATACACCAGAATACTGAGAGAGGCAAGGGAGGAAACTGCTGGGGCCTTAAGGGAAATCTTTGCTTCCTCACTGGCTACAGGGGAGGTCCTAGAGGATTGAAGAACAGCCAATGTTGTTCCTTTGTTTAAGAAGGGTGGCAAGAATAATCCAGCTAATTACAGGCAGGTGAGTCTTACGTCAGTGGTAGGGAAATCATTGGAGAGGATTCTTCGTGACAGGATTTACTCCCACCTGGAAATTAGTGGGCGTATTAGCGAGAGGCAACATGGTTTTGTGAAGGGGAGGTAGTGTCTCACTAACTTGGTCGAGTTTTTTGAGGAAGTGACGAAGATGATCGACGAGGGTAGGGCGGTGGAAGTTGTCTACACGGACTTCAGTAAGGCCTTTGACAAGATCCTTCATGGCAGGCTGATACCGAAGGTAAAGTCGCACGGGGTCAGAGGTGTGCTTGCAGGATGGATAAAAAAAACTGGCTCAGTCATAGAAGACAGAGGGTAGCAGTGGAAGGGTGCATTTCTGAATGGAGGGCTGTGACTTGTAGTGTTCCTCAGGGATCAGTGTTGGGACCTTTGCTGTTTGTAATATGTATAAATGATTTGGAGGAGAATGTAACTGGTCTGATTAGTAAGTTTGCCGGTGACACAAAGGTTGGTGGAATTGCAGATAGCGATGAGGACGGTCAAAGGATACAGTTGGATATAGATTGGTTGGTGGCTTGGGCAGAGAGATGGCCGGGAATTCCCATTTAATCCGGGAGAATGTGAGGTAATGCATTTTGGAAGGTCTAATCCAGATGGAAAATATACCGTAAATGACAGAACTCTTAAGAGTACTGATAGGCAGAAGGATCTGGGTGTACAGGTACACAGGTCACTGAAAGTGGCAACGCAGGTGGAGAAGGCAGTCAACAAGGCATATGGCATGCTTGCCTTCATTAGCTGGGCCATTGAGTTTAAAAATTGGCAGGTAATGTTGCAGCTTTACAGAACCTCAGTTGGGCCGCATTTGGAATATGGTGTTCAATTCTGGTTGCCACATTACCAGAAGGACGTGGTGGCTTTGGAGACAGTACAGAAAAGATTTAGCAGGATGTTGCATGGTATGGAGGGCATTAGCTATGAGGAGAGCTTGGAGAAACCTGGGTTATTCTGACTGGAACGACGGAGGTTGAGGGATGACCTGATAGAGGTCTACAAGATTATGAAGGACATGGACAGGCTGGACAGTCAGAAGCTTTTTCCCAAGGTGGAAGAGTCAGTTACCAGGGGCCATGGGTTTAAGGTGCGAGGGGCAAGGTTTAAAGTTAATGTACAAGGCAAGTTGTTTTTACACAGAGGGTGGTGGGTGCCTGGAACTCTCTGTCGGGCGAGGTAGTGGAAGCAGATACTATAGTGACTTTTAAAGAGCGTCTTAACAAATACATGAATAGGATGGGAATAGAGGGATACGGTCACCGAAAGGGTAGGGGGGGGTTTTAGTTGTGTCGGTGCAGGCTTGGAGGGCCAAAGGGCCTGTTCATGTACTGTAATTTTCTTTTGTTCTTCTTTGTTCTTTGAGTCCTAGATGCAGTATAAGTGACTGCAAGGGAAAGCAGATGATGGGCAGTCTTTGAAATGATGGCTTGTGTTCAGAAGCCCAGTGACGTGCCTAAGAGTGTCGGGTGTTCAACCTCTGCCAGATATCTTTGGAATTCCTCGTCAGAGAGCTGCCGGGAGAGAATCCTTGTGTATATTTAAAACTGAGATAGATAGATTCGTGATCAGTAGCGGAACCAAGGGTTATAGGAAAAGGGCGAGAAAGTGGACATTAGGAATATCAGGGACATAAACAAAGTAGCTGGAAAAGGTTTTTATGAGGAATATCAGATCAGCCATGATTCTAGTGAATGGCAGAGCAGGCCAGAGGTGCCAAATAGGCATACTCCTGTTTCTAATTCTCACAGACTTATACAAAAGTCATTTTGCCAAAGTAAAGCACCACCCTTGTCGGCTGGCTTCATGACAATGCTAGATTTAAACCTCAGTGAATGGGATGCTCTACATTCAAAGGGGATTGGTTAGAGGAAGTGAGGGAGCAGAGAAATTGAGATGTCTAATGCAATGGAGCAGCTCTCTATTAAAATATCTTGGGGGAGAAGGCAATTCTTGACTAAAGAAGTGGACATGGAGACAAAGGCCACCAAAGAAGAGCTTAGCTTCCGCCCAAATTCATTATGATGGGACTGGAAGGGGTGAAGCTGAGACTTTATCATTCAGAGTGAGAGGAGATAGACAAAACACCACGAGGGGTAACATTGGAAAAGGTGCGAGGGGAAATAAAAGCAGAATAAGTGTCTGGATGGGGGCTTAGGGGAACTGAGATCCAGAAATTGTTTAAGTCTTTACATAAATGGGCAAAAAAAGTCTTTTTCTGAAAGAGCTTTGTACATGTCCCTAAGGTTTTGGAGTAGATTTGTAGCTCGGGTTGTGGGTGTTGAGGTTGGTTGGCTCGCTGAGCTGGTTTGTTGTTTCGCAGACGTTTCGTTACCATGCTGGGTAACATCCTCAGTGCAGCCTCCGATGAAGCGTTGGGGTGTTTTCCCACCTGGTTTTTAAACTCTGGGATCCGTTGAATAAACACATAGAACTTGACCCCATATACACTCCACTACGAAGGAAAACTGGAAGTGAGGCAATCCAGCTCAATGGATCCCAGAGTTTAAAAACCAGGCGGGAAAACACGCTGATGTTTCATTGGAGGCTGCACTGAGGATGTTACCCAGCATGGTAATGAAACGTCTGCGAAACAACAAACCAGCTCGACGAGCCAACCAACCTCAACAGCTTTGTACATGATTAAGATATTGGATTTTCTTTTAAGGGAAACACCTCACGTAATGCTCCAAATGGCAAGATAAACTAAGTGGCTTTGCATGTAGAGTCTAAGTAAATGAACAACACATAATTTTACACATTATTTCAAACACTATTAAGCACCATTGTAGATGAATAGGGTAATTTCCCTCTCTTTTCATGTTCTTACTCACAGTGTCAGTTTTGTCACCAGGAAGACCACCATACAGGAGCTAACCAGCATCCTACATGGAGGGCAAGAGGTGACAGGTTTCAAATTAGGATTGCTACTTCCATTTTTCACACTTTTTATCTCATCTCTTGCATTAAATTGTAATTCACAGAGATTAAAGTGACTGGAGACAGACAAACAAACATTTAGCTTCAGAGTAAGAATGTAACAAACAATATCAAGAGTGGACATGTGGGTCTGCAAGCCAACATTCAATAAGATCCTGGTTGATGTTTGACTTCACTTCATGACTAATGCTGAGCATATAACACAAAATCTGCAGTGGAATAAGGTAGTGGTTCACCACCAACTTCTCAAGGGTAATTTGGGATGAGCAATAAATACTTCTTTGACAGTATGTCTACATCTCTCAAAGAAATAAAAAAAAAATTACCTCCTCAAATTCCCTCAGCAGAACCTGATTCCTTGTTCTACTTATGTTGTTGGCTCCGACATGGTCCATGATAATTGGATCCTCCCCCTCCCACTCCAAATGCTTCTCTAGCTGCAAAAAGATTTGCCCTAGCATCAGGCAGGCAACACAACTTTGGAACTGCCGAAGTATAGTAATTACTTCTAACTACAGTACCTCCTACCATTATCACATTATTTTCCATTTCCCTCAATTGAAAGGTCTTCCATCAGTGACACAGTTGTTTAACTCATCCAACACCCAACTTGCCCTCATCGATGCTGGCAGCAACAAGCTTGCACCTGTTCAATAATGGCAAAGACAGAGGCTCCTCTGGCATTACCCTTGGTGCATTCTTGCCTGCATAACTTGCAGTCACGCCTTCCTGTACATGACCAATAAGCAGATTTGTGCTACTTCTTAACCTAAGGGGTGTGTGGGGTTGTATCCTATGTGAAAATGACCACACAACTCTACCTCTCCAGGATATCCTGCAATGTCTGCACCTTGAATTCCAACCTAACAATTCCAAACAGATGTTTTCCCAAACAGTGTTCTCTAAAAACCACCAGGTGCTGCCCATCTGGCATATCACGAACACTTCAATTTTTATGCATGCAAATAGATATATTTCAACTCAGCTTATTGCTCTCAAACCAGTTACTGATATAACTGAAGTTATAGGTACAGCAGATCTAATATTTACCTGCAACATGAACCGCGACAAGTATTGGAAGAAAAAAGCATCACCTTTGTCCCTCTCTGTACCAAATTTCCATCTCACCAATTTTTGAACTTTTACACTGTTGATAATGCACTCAGTTTATGACTACTTAAAGTACTGGAAAACAATATCTGATCATGAATTCTAACAGAGGATGGACTTGAACTGTTCAGAATATCTATTTGGATCAGTCTTCTGAGAAGGTCTAGATTATTTGGCTCTCTTTTTACAGTACACCAAAGCACTGACTTTGTCGTTTATTCCAGTTTTGGACCGCATCAGATTAACCTAATGTTTCCAGCAATCTACTGTAAAGTTTCATCATGCAATGAAAGGAAGAAACAGTCTTACATGACTTATTATAAAAAGTAGAACTATTTTCTTAAGTGGCAAAGAATTTTGTCCCTTTCTAACTTCACAAATGTTATACAACATGAATATCAATACTGAAAGCAACTTTTTCCAACAATGAAGCAAATCAGGTGTTTATTTGACTTTTAAAGTCATATTAAGATATTCATTAAAAAATTAAGCATTTTGAAGCAATAAAACATTGAGTGCGTCATTGTTTCATCAACTTGAAAAGCACAGGTTATGGCACATTTTATATAAAGCTCTTCTAGTCTGATAGAATTCAGTGGATATGAAGTTTACTACAATTACTGACCTTGAATTGTTGCCAGTGTGCTATTACTCATTAATGCTGGACCAAGAGCACCACCAAGACTCCCTGGATTCAGACTTAGTAAGGCACCTCTGCAAAAATTAAAAACAACTTGATTTTAGGTTTATTTACTAAAATCATTTTTCTGGAAAATATTTATACTCCTTGCACTGCATAACAGTAGAACATATACCAGAATACAATAGAAATTATGAACTTATTATCACTGGCAGCAACAAGGAGGTCCATTGAATATTTTAATAGTTTTGGATAACTAATCTAGTAACCACTTACAATTTCCAGAACTGTCATGACTTTCTCTAGCACTCTCAAACTGTTGATGTTCTTTATTCATTCAATGGATGTGAATCATCACTGGCAACTCAGACATTATTGCATATCCCAAAATGTCCTCAAGTGAGTGCTGGTGAGCCACCTCTTGAATTACTTCAGTCATGTGCCATTCTCATGTCCAAACCCAGTTCCTAGATCGTTGCTGCATGCTTTGTTGATCATATTCTTCTCATAGGTTTTGCAGTAGTTATGATACATCAAGTAGTTTGAAACTGAGTGGCCTGAATTTTAGAGGCCAGTTTAAAGTTAACTGCATTGCTAAGGACGTGGAATCCAAAGTTGTTAAACTGGGTGAGGATGGCACGTTCCCCTCTTAAAGGACATCAGTGAACCAGAGGAGGTTTTATAATAAAAACCGAAAGAACTATAGATGCTGTAAATTAGAAACAAAAAGAGAAGTTGCTGGAAAAGCTCAGCAGGAGTGGTAGCATCTGTGAAGAGAAATAAGTTCTGAGGAAGGATCATTGGACCCAAAATATTAACTCTGATTTCTCTTCACTTAGGTTTTATAATCTTGTAGAATCAAGAACAATATGAATCACACTAATTTTGTCATCAATGATTAATTAATTAACTGAACTTGAATTCCTCAGCTTCCATAGTGGGATTTGAACTCTGCCTCTGAATCATTAATTCAGACATTTGGATCATCCATCCCGTAACAAGGTTACCATGCTGCCATAGCCTTACAATGGTGGTAACAATTTTTATGTTTTAAAAGTAAAAAGAGTTATTCCCTAAGTTGTCAGAGCACAGATTAATATGAGAAAATTCATGTGAGCATCATTCCAATACTTTACACGCGATCTCCCAACTCTTGACCAATTATCTTGGCTTCACGCTAGAAGCTAGAGGACACGTCCAACCATGCCACTGAATTAACCCAGCTATGCATGTAACAACAACTGAAAAGTTACAGAAATCAGACATAAACCAAACACTATGGCCCTGTCCCAGATATATTTAGAAACTTGACAGCTGGAAGGTGATGGCATTCAGTTCACTTCAAGAATATGAAGTTTCACCTTTGATGAATTGCCTCAAATACTGCCCACATTCTCTAAATTACCAACTATACAAGATGAAGAAATAGTTTGCTCTTATGTCAACATTGCATAACTTTACTGAATAGGCCCAAATAAATGCAAAAGCAAAATATTGAGGATGCTGGAGATCTGGAATGCTGGAAACATACAGCCAAATTGACTGTATCTGTGGAGTTAATGAGGTAGATTTTATATTTCCTTACCAGGTCTATTTTCTACAGAGGAAGGCATATAAAATAGATTGGGTGGCTAGCTCACTCACCTCTGACTTCATTCTGATAATATGCGAGGTGGGCACTGAAATCAGCTACATGTCTGCCATATTTAACTGAACAATTAAAGGTCAAGTAGCCTTGTTAACAAGCCTATTTGACATGAATTATACACTGCCCAAGCTACAGTATGAATGGCCCGGGCATTCGGGTGGGAGTGACCAGATCATTTTCGATGACCTCCATGAATTAAGTCAGGAAGGAAGGGGGATGGCACCTTATTCAGGGAATGCACTACGTGCAACAAAGGCACTCCTCTAGGTTGCCCTCCAACCGTTCCTTCCACACTGTCAGCCGATAGAATTTGGCCTCCCAATCCCTCTTCTACCTCCCTGGCTCTGGGATCCCTTGTTTGCCCTAAAGCCCCAGCAACTACTTTCCTAATCTTCTGCAGGCTTCTTATAGCTGTTCCCACTGTTGAGTTCTGGCACTACAGGGAGTGGTAGAACTGCTGGGCAATCAGATTAGTGACAGCAGATCTTAGTCCCAAGTGGAGAAGTCACACTATTAGTTAATTTAGTCCACCTGCAATGGATCATGGCTAAGGGGTGGGTTTTAAAGGAGCATGTTGCCTTCCAGATAACTTTCCTTCATGAGCCAAGTAATCCATGCACTGTGTTTGTAAAATGCTGCCCAACATTTCAGGTCTGTTGTCTTTCATCAGAACGGAGTAAAGTTAGAAATACAATACATTTTAGAAAGCAGAATAGTTTGGAAGAATAACAAACTAGGAGGTCTGTGATTGGGTGGAAGGAAAAATTAAATGATAAAATATTTCACAGTAGAAAATCAAACGAACTGGCAATGAGACAAGTAAAAAGCAAAAACATATACAAAACTAAATGGGGGCAGAGGTTATGATCTGACCATAAAACGTCTAGTTGAAAGATGAGTTACGGTTCCTCAAGTTTGCATTGAGGTTCATTCGAACACTGCAGTAAGCCAAGAATGGAAAAGGTCAACGTACGAATGACAGGCAACTGGAAGCTTGGGGTCATGCATGCATACTGAAGGCAAGTGCTGTATAATTGCCCAGTCTGCTTTTGGTCTTCTGAAAGTAGATGGCACCACATTCCCCCATCATCACTGTTAGGGCCCTGAACCATGTATATGTCCTATTTCATGCTCTTATACGTCCTCTGAGAAACATAATTGGAGTTGTCAAGTCCTCACTTTCCAGTCTTTTATCCTTCATCTCATCCCTCCCTCTTTTGTTTGCTCAAGCACTTCTAACTTTTCTCAGTTCTGATGAAAGGTCGCAGACTTGAAACGTTAAATGTTTCTCTTGACATAACTGCTGCATGACCTGCGGAGTGTTTCCAACGTTTTCTGTTTTAATTGCCAATTGATACCACTCTCTTTACTGAGGAAAAGTCAGAATTATGCTCAGGAGTTTCATCTTGAAATCAATAGTAGAAACCTCTTCTTTTTTAAGTATAGCATTCTACAACAACAGAAATGATGAACCAAAATGAATTTTTAAGAAAGGAAGCCCTTTGGAAATTTATTTTAAGTTTGCAAATGTAAACAAAACATGACATCACTGTCAATGAAAGAATATGACAATTATCAGGTAGGAGTGATAAAAATAGAGGCATTATCAAATTGTAAGAATAACTGAAAGTGCACAGGTAGTTGAATTTGTAGCAATAAAACAAAATGAAATTCTCAATATTTATTTTAAGAAATGCTGTAAATCTGAAATTTTTAATAGACTGTTGATCGAAAGGATAATTAAAAGCTTAGAAATTAAGAAATTTTCCACATTTTGTTCCAACCATCATAAGATTGTTATTTTAAATTAAGCTACTTTGAGTGTCACTCTTAACGTTCTATTTAATTTCTTCTTGTGCCCCAGAAAAAGTCTAATGGCTAGTGCACTTCACATTCTGAGATGGTTTGTAATCTATTCCTGTAGCTCACTTGTCAAGAGTGGCATCTTTTTTCTATGATTTTACCCCTATAGCAATCAGAATGTCCAGAGTCAATAAACAGTGAAGAACTCATAACATCTGTTCAATCAACAAGTTCCCTGCTTTGAGGCTGGGACCCAGATTTTCACCATGGCAGAGCCATCTGATATCTTACGTCAAGCCCCCAAAACTGGTGCTTCCTATTTTTGGAGGGGGTGGAGACAGGGGAGCATGGTATGTATGCATGTGAGACTCACAGAGGCAGCTAGCTACTTAAATAATCAGTTGCATCTACCCTAATCAGATTGTGGAGTCCCTGCTGTCTGGAACAAGTAAAAGCAATTCTCAGTGCATTTCTTTTTCGTTGCATGGTGTGGATATCCCTTTGAAGAGCTGAAATAATGATGTGGTTATGGCTCCCGGAGACCTTGGGGATGAAGTTCAAGAATACTTTAGGGTTAGGGACAGGTATCCTTTGAGCGGAAAGAAGCAACAGCAAGTGTTCTTTGGGATTGTTCCATGGAGAAATTGTATGTAAAAAAATGCATAAACCCCTTGGAACTGTCCAAGCCATCTGGAAATGTAAACCTCTCCAAAAGCATCGAGAAGGGTCATAATCTGTCCAAGTATATTTTTATGAATGAGACTGCTTCTTCTCGATAGAGTGCAATCTGCAATATAGAACTTTAGGTAATAGGTTTTTATTTATTCTCCTGTGTACATGGATCCTTGTGGATACGAAGATAAGTTGGCATGGTAGGAAAGGGTGGTACATGGAACTAGGCACTAAGTTAGTGTTGGGAGTACATGGGGCCATGGTGAATGTGGAAGGACATGGGACTCTGCACAGGAAGTATGCAGAGTCATTGAGGATGGATAGGGGGCCCGAGCTGCCATGAGTTGGCATTGATCGGCATGGGGTACGTGTGGATGTGATTGGAACTAAGGGGCGAGAGCGGTGAGGGCCTGATAAATATTTATTCTTTTATCATAATTTCTGATCACAGTGCTGGGACCCAGAGGCTGGCTTTCTCCCCTGCCCACCTCAGGAACTGGGAGCCTCCTCAACTCTTGCTAAGTCATTTGGTTCAACTTCTAATCCAGCCTGCTCCACCGAGTAGCCATTGTTTCAAAGTTCGGTCTGCAGAACCTGGATTTCTCCTCCCTCTTCAAGCTCAACCAGGGAACGAAAATCGTGCATGTACAAAGTTTTCAGCAGGCTTTTACACTTCAAAGTACATCATTTGCACCTGTCACTGGGAAATACTGTGGCACGATGTCACTTGGTCTTTGACCAAAGCAATATTGACTAGTTTCCTGGATTTACGTCATATGCCAATGCCTACCATGTAGGAAAGCACGAAATGGAATTCTGTAAAGTTTTCTTTTGATGAATTTCTGTATAAACATTGAATACTGAAACTATTGGAGAAACCTGAAACTACTTGGGGGAGAAAACTAAGGCGTGTGCAAGCTTCAGTTGCATATGGAAGTTAAACATTGTGACAAACAAACAGACATGCTATAGGCAAATTCACATAACTGCCATCCTTTCAATTTTTGTCTGATATTATTTATTTCTCCATCTTTAACTCATTCCAAGTCCAAATATCAGCCCTAATGTTCCCCTTAAATCTATATGATTACATCTTTCATATGGAGAATATCAAGAGACTGTCCATGGGCAAACATCTTGACAAGAGAATGCTCGAGGTGATTACCCCTCAAAGTAGAATGATGCAAATCATTTAAATGTACATGGAGGCTGAAAAAGTGAGGAAAGATTACTTCACATCTCACGTAAAAATATAAACACCTTATCTTTTAAAACTTATTTGTGAGGGTAAGTCTCAATTTTCCATGGTACTTGAGTAATTCAATTCCTTCAGTGTGCACATTAAGTCTTTATTTGATAATTTAACAAGAAACTTTATATAGCAAAAATACACATTCATAAATAAATTTAAAATATAATCCATTAGTGGTAGAATGCAGTGAAAACTTACCCAGCTGCAAATTGAGGGGCTGACATTAGGGCAGGATTGGCTAGTCCTGCAGCAGCAGCCATGGCAGCTAGGCCTGGATTGGTGGCAAGACCAGCACCAGTGGATACCTGTGCAGCTGCTGCTTGTAGCGCATTGGCACCTGTCTGCAGTCCAGATGCTGACACCGTGATTTGGCTTGTGCACAGAGGATTTACTAAGCCAGTTGATGTTGACTGTGTGGTATTTGCATCACTGCTGCTAGATGACTCAGTCACTGAAATGGACGCTGATGGTGAAGGGGTTAGAGATGGAGAAGTGACTGCTGACGTAGAAACTGCAGAAGACAGGCCGGTGATTACAGATGCCACGTTTGTAGGAGCTGTCCCTGATGCAGTTGTACCTGGGCAGTTAAAGGGAGTTTGAAATTTTAATATGAATTCTACATCTTATTTCACGTTTTATAAACACATTTTGAAAATGATTCACAGAATATGAAAGCAAAGAGGTGACGAAACAAACATTCTCTTTACACAGAGAACACGTGAATGTTATTGTGATGTCCAATTTCACACAAATTTGAATAGAGCATGTTTAAAGGAACACATGACTAAAGGCAGCAAGGATTGAACTGACAATGAACACAAAATTGCAACTGTGCTGTCAAGCCTAACGAAACAACTGTGCCTTCCTTCTCTGAATGACAAGAGTACATTGTTTAACATTTCACGCTCGTGGATGACAGAAAATAATCAAGTATAATTCCATTTATTATAAATGCTTACTTTCAAGGAACTATTCATTTCTCAATGGATGAATCTAAAACAGAAGTTAAGTTCAACTTGCACGAAACCTTGGTTGAATTAACTTGGGAATATGGTGTTCAGTTTTGGTCTCTAGATTATGAAAAGGGTACAGAGATACTGGAGGAAGTGCAAGAACTATTCACATCAATAAAATAATCAGAAAAGGATGGATAGACTGATAACTCTTTTCTCCAGAAAAGAGAAAGCTGTGACGTTGCCTGATTGACATCTTTATGACAATGAAAGAATTTTACTGATTAGATGTAGAGAAGATGTTTGTTTTTTTTGGTGGATACAAGTCATTCATAAATAATAGATAACTCAGGAAAATCTTCTTTATTGTAAATGTGGTACAAATGTGGGGTGTACAAGACAATTTTGAGCAAACAGCACAGATGCTTTAAGGAGAATAAGAGAAGCAGGAGGGAGAAATGTGTGTATAGATATGATTTGTTTGGATGAAATAGGATGGGGGAACGCTTATGTTAGTTCTAGATGCTGGCAAAGGCCAGTTGGGCCAAATGGATCTGTTTCTGTACCATACTATTATAACTACTAGAGGAAAAGCCTCAGTATCAAAAATGTTACAGTGCCTCATTTCTTTAACCTTAAAATTAAGAATAACTATACCAAAGTGGGTATTATTTTTGGTCAAATATTGTCAATTGTTAGGTGTTACCAGCAATGTTTAGTGACAGTGTGACAACTGGCTTCAGTATAGCAACTCAAGATAAATCAACTTTCATTAGCTAACTTAAGAGATGGCTACAATAGATCCCAGATAACTGGCTAGGCAGAGACCAGCTGAGTCATACATACAAGGCAGATTCCTAGCTGCTCAGATTTCCACTTCTGAGATTGCTACTTAGCAATCCCTAGAAACTCACATAAATAGACTGTGGATGAAAGATGTGTCTTATTGTTGAAAAGCCTGCTTATAATTGTTGTTTAGCTTGACATGAAGTAAACTACTGGCACTGTTAGCACAGAGAGGAGTGAGTTAGAGGGGAAGGAGTTGGGAAAAATTAGTCACAATGGGTTTGCGGTGTGGAAAATCTAAAAAAGAGGAAGCATGACGAATAGTTGGGGTAGTTGCTGTTAAGTCATGAGTTTGTGTAAGGAGTAGTCCAGCCTGGCACAATGGCAGCAGAGTAGCTAAAGGAATGAGAGGGGGATTCGGGAGGGTAGAGTGCCTGAATACACTTGGTGGCTGTAAACAAAGGAACTAATGACCAGGTGAAATGCTTACTTAGTACTGAATCATGATATTCAGCAAAAGATGCTTTAACAATCTGAATTATTGATATTGGTTAAAATGTCATCAGCTTTAGTTGCAGATGCCACTGGTGAAGCAGCATGAATGGAAGCAGATCTGCACCATCGCGATATCATTATTTCAGACTACAAGAGATAAGGGATAAAAAGGTTTACAAATGAAAAATGACATCACTCACATAATTATGAAGTGACAAGCCTCCATCACTGCTAGAGCTGGTAACTGGTTTATTTTCAAGTAATTATAGCAAGTCAACTTAATCTGTATTGTAAGGCAAAATGGTAAAGTCATCATAATCTTACCTGATCACATGGATGCTCTCTCATCAGACAGAGACAACTGTTGGTGGTTTAACCCGAGGATCACCACAACTCACGTGAGGACAGAGTGTGTTAACCTCAGCCGGTACAGGAATTGAACCTATAACTAATGGGATCACTCTGTATTGCAAACTGGCCATCCAGCCGACTGAGCTAACTGACTCCCTATATATTGTATTGTGACACTACACTGTTCAACATAAGTTTACTGTGCTGGTGTCAATAATATGATTTATCCATAAGCCCTCTAACATTTCTGTTTGTGGCAGTTTTTAAGTCTTTACAGATTAGAGATCTCAATTTCACTCAGACTAGGGTGCATTGTACTTGGAAGAGCAGCTTGTCGCTCACACCATGAAGTCAATGTTAATGGACCTGTTCACTTCCTTGGCTAGTGGCAAGAAATTATATTGTAATATACTATGCCATTTAGTATCAAGGAAGTAAAACTTTTAACTGTCTCTGTATAAAATGCTTTTAAAATTATTGACGGTTATATAATATCCTTGCAAACTGCACCACATAATGTATTAATTAGCGACAAATTCTTACCTGAAATGCTGAAGTTGGTCACACCAGCACTGGATGCAGGCATCTGCATTGCATTTACAGCCAGAGTAGTCGGTGTACTACTCGTCACAAGGTTACTAGTGCTGGCCACCTATTAATAAAAACAGGTAATCCAGTCACTTAGCAACATTCTGAAACATTAACCTGTAGGGCATAAGCAAGCATACTATAAAATCCTAATTAATAATAATTTACTCATATTCATGCAAAACCATTTCATTTGCAATTTCCTTTTTTTAAGCAAAACGCAAGGAAATAAATTAATTTTGCACGCTTAATCCAGAATTTCACAATCCTGTAGCAATGTATAGGTCAGTTAAGAAGCGTGACAAAAATTAAACTTTTTATTTATAGTACATCATTTTATTATTGTTTCTTCTGGAGAAGGGAGATACTTAACAGACAAATATCTAGATACTGAATTAGGCAGCAAAACAATTCCAGATTTTTATAAAGCTTTTATTGTAAATCTCTTGTTTAGCACATACACCAGTTCCACATTTCCCTTATCAATCCTTTCCCAGTCCAGATGCCAACTTTTCACTGGAGGTCAATCCAACTCTTTTTTTTAAAATATATGAAACCTGCTGGTTCAGATACCTTACAGGACAGGTGGGAAGTGAACCCAGATCTTCTGCCCTAGAGGTAGGGAAACTACCACTGTGCCACAATACCTGTTGTTCCCCAAGAACCCAGTTCTTATTTTAAAAAAATACCCAACTAACTAATTAACAAATTACAAGCATTGCTCATCAAAGGCAGCACAACTAGAAAAAATATCAAAAAGTGACAGGAAAAGGAGGACCTAAATCAAAATAGAGTTGGAGGGGGAGACAATGTAGCGCAGTCTGTGGTGCCCACCTCCTGCTAAAGGCTTTGAGTACACTGGAGGGCACCACGTGCCCTCTCTCCAAGGACATCCAGGCACAAATGGAGTCACAGGAAACAGGCAGGTAGCTGGAACTATGACCCATTTCCATGGCCCACTGTCTGGAGCTGTTGATGGTTACCTCAGCCAGGTCCAGGATAAAACCCAGTTCTTTTTTCATTTGTAAAACCCACCACACAAAGTTATCCAATTACCCCATCAACGAACAACAAATTAGAAACAATGCCCCAACAATAAGCAAAAGATGAGAGAAATGAGGGAGGGAGTAAACTAAAATTGTTTTGGTGGGGGAAATAAATGCACTCCAGCCTCTGTGGTGACCATCTTTCTCTAATGGGTTTGAAGGTAGTGGCGGACACCATATGCACCCTATCTACAGGCAGAACACAGCTTTTTTGTTTATTCAATCTGTTCTGACATATGACATACGTTATGACACACCTCTGGAACAGGTGGGACTTGAATCCAGGCTCTCTGGTCCAGAGGAAGGGACACGACTACTACACCTGAAAAGACTGCTAGAATTCAGTTCTTAATATTTTCAAATCAATCTGCTCAGAGATGTTGTTATCTTGGAATAGGTGGGACGTGAACTCAGACCCAAAGGTAGGGACACTATCATTGTGCCACAAGAGCACAAGCATTTTTTTCAACAAAAGTTGAAATTACTGGCCAAACCCAGCAGGTTTGGCAGAATCTATGGGAAGAAACTAGAGTTAACATTTCAAGTCCAGTGACACTTCATCAGAACTATTAGTTACAAGGAAAAAGTGATACTTATATTGGAGCTGAAGGAGAAAAGCTGAATACGTGATAGTAAGAGCTAAGAGTGAGAAAATGGGTGAGCAGTGTTGAATGCAACTCATATAATGGGCCTAGGAGTGCGAGAGAATGGCTGACTGTGCTAAAAGCAACACTTATGCCAGGATCAGGTGTGGAGTGATTAAAAAAGAGTGGGCGCAGGGGGGTAGCAGTTAGGAGGAGACAAAGCCCAGAGAGAGATATGAAAGGAGTAGGTAAACAAGGATAACACAGTGTGGAGCTGGAGGAACACAGCCAGGTGGCATCAGAGGAGCAGGAAAGCTGACGTTTCAAGTAGGGACCCGTCTTCAGAAATAGGGAGGGGGAAGGGAACTCAAATAAGTAGAGAGGAGGGGTATGGCTGGGAAAGATAGATGGGATGGTGATAGGTGAGTGCAGGTAGGGAGTGGTGGGGATTGGTTAGTGACGTGGGAGAGGTGGATAGGTGGGAGAGAAGATGGACAGGTTGTGTCAGGTCAAGGAGGCAAGGATGAGAGGGAGGGTTGGTCATTGGATGAAGTCCGGTGTGGGGAGATTTTAAAACTGGTAAAATCCATGTTTAGGCCACTGGGCTGTAGGCTCCCGGGACGGAATGTGAGGTGCTGCTCCTCCAGTGTCACAATGACGCCACCCGCAAACTGGAGTAGCAGCTACCAGTTTCAAAATCTCCCCAACCTCAGCCTCATCCCATGACCAACCCTCCCTCTCGTTCCCGCCTCCTTGATCTGACACAATCTGTCCATCTTCTCTCCCACCTATCCGCCCCTCCCATGTCACTGACCAATACCCACCACTTTGGCGTCATTGTGACACTGGAGGAGGCCCAGGATGGACATGTCACCCTGGGAGTGGGAGGGGGAGTAGAAATGGCTCACGACCGGACGGTGTTGTTGTTTGTTGCGAATAGAGTGCAGGTGCTCTACAAAGCAGTCTCCGAGCCTTCGCTTGGTCTCACCGAAGGAGAGGAGGCCACATTGGGATCAGGGAATGCAATAGACCACGTTGACGGATGTGCAGGTGAACCCTTGTCTAAGGTGGAAGGTTTCTTTGGTGCCTTGAATGGAGGTGATGGGGTAGGTGTAGCACTTCCTGCAGTTGCAAGGAAAGGTGCTGGGGATGGTGTGGCTAGTGGGGGCTGTGGAGCGGACGAGGAAGTCACAGATACAGCGGTCCCTACAAAAGGCAGATAGGGGTGGGGTGGGAAATATATCTTTGGTTGTGGGGTTGGATTGTAGCTGGTGGAAGAGGCGGAGAATGATACGCTGGATACGGAGGTTGGTGGCGTGATTTGTGAGGTCAAGGGGGATTCTGTCTTTGTCTTTGTTGAGGGGAGGGTTGTGAGGGCAGAGGTGCGGGAAACGCAAGAGATGCGGTTGAGGGCATTTTCAACCACCGAAGGGGGGAGTTGCAGTCCTTGAAATAGGTGGACATCTGGGATGTGTGGGAATAGAACACCTCATCTTGGGAGCAGACACAGTGGAGGAATTGGTTGTAGGGGAGTAGGATGCCCATCTTGAAGAAGTTGTCCTCCTCCCTCCGGAAAGACCCCAGTGAATCTCTCCCCCACTGCAGCCCTCTGGTAATCTCTTTGGCCCTGAAACTCTTCGACCACATACCCAAGCAAACCATGTACTACAGCCACTCCTCCAGTGTCACCATGACGCCACCTGCAAACTGGAGGAGCAGCACCTCATTTTCCGCCTCGGGAGTCTACAGCCCAATGGCCTAAACATGGATTTTACCAATTTCAAAATTTCCCCAACCTCAGCCTCATCCCATGACCAACCCTCCCTCTCATCCCTGCCTCCTTGACCTGACACAACCTGTCCATCTTCTCTGCCACCTATCCGCCCCTCCCACCTCACTGACCAATCCCCACCACTCCCTACCTGCACTCACCTGTCATCATCCCACCTACCTTCCCCAGCCATACCCCTCCTCTCTATTTATTTCTGAGCTCCCTTCCCCCTTCCCATTTCTGAAGAAGGGTCCCGACCCGAAACATTAACTTTCCTGCTCCTCTGATGCTGCCTGGCCTGCTGTGTTCCTCCAGCTCTACATTGTGTTATCTCTGACTCCAGCATCTGCAGTTCTGACTATCCTGAGTGAGGTAAACAAGGATATTGTGGACAGCAGACCAGGACAGAAGGAAAGCTTTCAATTTCCACCCTGCCCTCACCTTCACTTGGTCTATCACAGACTCCTTCCTTCCCTCCCTCCTCACCTCTGTTTCTGGGGTAACTGGCCACTGACGTACATTACAAAGACACCGACTCACATAGTTACCTCAACTATACATCTTTACCCCTGCTTGCTAAAAAGACTTCATCCGATTCTTCCACTTCCTCCATATCCATCCGTCTCTGTTCTGATGATGCCACCTTCTGCAGAGAGGATCTCAGAAATGAACATCCTTTTCTTCAACTGAGGATTCCCCACTACTGTGGTTGACAAGACACATTGATAGCTGTGGTCAACCCATCTCCCACATTGCTGCCCTCACCCCTTCGCCTCCCTGCCACAACAAAGATAGGGTCCCCCGGTCCTCAATTACCACCACACTTGCCTCCACATCTAAAGGATTATAAGCCCATTTTCATCATGTCCAACAACTACACGCATATTCCCCTCATCACCTTTATCAGCATTCCGCAGGGATCTTTCCTTCCGGTCCACTCCTCCTCTACTTTCAACATTTCCCCACATACCCACGGCACCTTCCCATGCAATAACAGAAGGTGTACTACCTGCCCATTTACCTCCTCCCTCCTCACCATCCAAGGCCTAGAGACACCTTCCAGGTAACTCAGTGATTTATCTGTACTTCAATCAAATCTAATCTACTGTATTCGCTGTTCACAATGTAGTCTCCTCTAGACTGGGAAGACAAAATGCAAACTGGGTGACTGCTTTGCAGAACACCTTCATTCTGTCCGCAAAAGTGACGCCAAGCTTCCAACTGCCTGCCATTTCAACACACGGTGTTCCCACACCAACATTTCTGTCGCAGGCCTGATGCAGTGTTTCAGCAAGCCTCAATGCAAGGTCGAAGAACAACTCATTTTCTGCTTCAGGAGTCTGCAGTCTCGAGGAGCCAACATCGAATTCAATAACTTTAGAGCCCAATTCTGTCCTTCCATGTTTTTGTACCCACCCCACACCCAGTCCTGTTATGAAATGGGTTGCTTTTAGCACAATCACTCATTCTCACACACTCCTAGGCCCATTATATGGGTTGTATTCAGCACAGCTCACCCACTTTCTCACTGTTTGATCTTATTATCACTTATTCAGCATTGCTTCTGTCTTGGCCTGCTATCCATAATATTCATATTTACATACCCCTTTCATATATCTCTCTTTCTGGGCTCCATCTCCATGTATCTGCTTACGACACCCCC